TTTCTCCAGACTATCTAAGTGTTCAAATGACATCCATCAAGTTGAATGGTGAGAATTATGTACCATGGGCAAAATCTGTGGAGGTGTTCTTGAAGGCCAAGAGGAAGGTAAAACATGTAAGAGAGGAGAAACCTTCCTCTGATTCCCCTGGGTTCAGTGACTGGGAACAAGAAGATGCACAGATAATGACATGGCTCTAGAACAGCATGGAACCAAAGATTAGTGTGAACTTCATGTTCCTAGATACAATTAAGGAAATCTGGGATCATGCTAAGAAGCTGTACTTTGGACAAGACAATACAACTAGGGTCTATCAGTTATACCAGGAGTACTTCAATTTGAAGCAAGGGAGACAAAGCTTGGAAGAGTACCATGCAAGTTTGAGGAACATTCGTAATGAACTCAATGTGTATCACCCTCTAACATCAGATGTCCAGATGCAACAACAACAACGTGAACAACTTGATGTGACTAGGTTTCTTGTGGGCTTGAAGGCCAAGTATGAGCCTGTCAGAGCACAGATATTGTGGGGATCATCTCTCCCCTCACTTGAAGAAGTTTTTGCCCGTCTTAAGAGGACATCCATTGAGCCGGTGGAACATTCTTCCTTCTCTGATAGATCTGGTTTGGTAGTGACTAAAGGAAGTGGCCGTGGAAGTAGAAGTGGTGGTGGCAGCAGTGGCCCTTCAAGCAACCGTGGTGGACACATATTTAACTGGGCTAGTGGTTGGACTGGAGGCCGAGAGTCAGGGGGAGGCCGTGGAAAAGGAAGGAGTACTGCTCAGTGAAAATGTACACATTGTGGCTTAGAGGGGCACACAGTTAATTTCTGCTATGATTTGCATGGTCCACCCAACACTTGGGCTAACCATGCTACATCTAAGAGTAGTAGCACAATTACTGAAAGCCAGCAAACTGCCCCAACCCCCTCCACACCCGCGTGTGCTTCCGGGCAGGAAATGATGAGTGTACCATGGGCAGTATATGAGCAGTTCCTTCAAACATCTCAGCATAACACAACTACACTTGCCCATTCAGGTATGACTTGCTTAGCTTCCAAAGCCTCACCCTGGATCATTGATTCTGGAGCCTCGGACCATATGTCTGGGACTCTTGATGTATTTTCTTCCCTTTCTCGCTCTTCCACATCTCA